GAAGCAACGGCTCTCAGCGTGTCGGGTGTATTGAAATAACGAACGCGCGGATTTTCGGTGAAAGCAGATTTGTCAGTGTCAGTACAACTCACCTCTCCGAGTCTTTTGGCGAACTAGTGACAGACTTTGACGGACATCTTCAAGTACAGGAGACACCTCGGGTTATTTGGCGCTATTCTTACCCAAACTCTATACGTCTTAATTTGAAAAGCTGTTCCATGTGCCTATTTGGTCAAATCCTCTATCCAAGATTCAGCTTTCGAAACGTAGTCTTATACGTATGCATTCTTCAGGAAACATGGTTTCCTTCGTTGGACCCCCCAAGTCACAAGTACCAGGTACTGCATACACACACCGGATTTTCTGCCCAAATATTTTGGCAGAGGTTGATCCACCTAGCTCGGTCTTCGGCGTCGTTCGATAGGTTAAGGGGAACCTGTTCAGGCATTCTACGTGGACGCCCGAGTTACTTCCTTGCCCTTTCGAAGGTGCCGACAGACCTGGTGTAAATTAGAGAGAATCCGGTTCAAACTCTTTCAATGAGAAGAAATAGGACGCCATGCCATGACGGATACGACTGTTGACTGGCTAAACAGTCTGCTGGTTCCGGCCAAAGAAATTGTAGTTTGTATTTCAAAAGTGATAGCGCAACAGTTTAGCCAACGCGAGGACCAATGCTAGCCAAGCGATGAGACTGATATTTCCGCCCCGCTCTGTATTCCTTCTTAGAATCCATTCTGGACATCATATGAGAAGCCTAGACGTAGCAAGCTGTGCCAAAATCTTGACATGGGCTCGAAATCGATCGTCACGAACGTCCCTCCACAACCCCGAAAAATATCAAACCCAAATACCAGCGTAAAAAAACAGGAACTAGATAAAATGCACCTAAATTTTAATAATCTGGCCAGTGATGTTTATTTGAGGAATCATCGCCTCGCGTTGATGATCTGGACAAATTCAGGTTTCAATGAAGCACCGCCGACCAAGAAACCATCAACGTCAGGCTGACTTCCAAGTTCCTTTGCATTTCCGGCATTCACCGAACCTAAATTAGCAGAAGATAGATAAATAAGTATGAACAAGAACAAGATCTTCGTGATATTACTATACTTCCCTGACGAGAACCTCGTCTACAGAAGGTAGAAAAACGCTTGCTGTCACCAAAATTATCCACCGAAGTTTGTTTAATATATTCAAAAATCAGCAAAGACGCCATATGTGATAATTGTGGAGGAGAATGGAAGGCCCAATCAGCCGACGATAAAAAAATTCACTCACCGCCATAAAGAATTCTAACTTTACTGGCGACGTTAGCGTCCACATGGTCACGAATCCAATCACGAACAGCCTTGTGGACTTCTTGCGCCTGAGCAGAGGTGGCCGTCTTTCCTGTGCCAATGGCCCAGACCGGTTCGTACGCAATGACGACGTGGTCCCACTGGCTTTTGCTTACATTCTCTGTAGTGAAAATGCAAGTTAGTGGGGAGAGGGTAATAGGGGGTCGACGCAGGCAAATGGGGAAACTTAAAAAAGCGGAATTTAACGTATTGTAGTTCAAAGCTTCCTACAGAAAGGCTATGACTAGAAGGACATTAAAACTAATAAATCAAAGCACTCTGGTGGTCTTAATCAGGAAACACTTCTTAGAAAACAGAAATGGATTGAAGAACAGCTGAGGAAAGATAATTATTCAAGAAACATCAAAAGGGAGATAAAAAACATAAACATACTTGCAATGGCCGCCATTTGCCTGAAGCAAACCTCATTGGTTTTTCCGGCCTCACGTTCCTCCAAAAGCTCACCGATGCATGGAATTACGTCTAGACCAGCTTCCAGAGCGTGTTTAACTTTTTCACCGATAAGCTGAAGGTAGCAAAAAAGAAAAGTCAAAGTTGCTCATGTGCGATTGGTCAAGCCTTAAAAATGCTAATTTATGATGACTGTGTAGCAGAATAAAAGAGAAAATGACAAATAGGCAGAAACAAAATGAAAACAAACCTCATCAGATTCGCCGAAAATATGACGACGTTCAGAATGTCCCAAGATTACCCAGTGGCAACCGCAATCCTTAATCATAGCTGGACTAAAATGCACAAAATAAAAATAATTTCGAGCGACCCTATGGTTCAGCACATTGCATTGGGAAAAGAGCTCAAACGCAGTAGAGGCTATTTACTTCAGTTCAGGGTTATGTCATTAGTAACATTTGTCATGATGTCTAATCTTAAACCCTGTAGTCGCATAATATTTAAAAACATTCAAAGGAGTCAGTATATTTGAGTTATTTCTGATTAATTGTAAAACATAAATGTAAGGTATTATAGCTAATAATGTGAAAGCAGAAAAGATATAGCAGAAGCAGTAGACAAAAGGCTGACGTTACTTAGCTTTTAAGGAAAGAATTACTAGGCATTGACCCACGGTACATCAATGGCTACCATAAAACATTTTCCTTTATTCTGACTTTGCTGAGAATTGTGCAGTGAAGCATATACTTTAGAAAGTTATGCAAACATTAAAGAACGCGGTAAAAATGAGAGTCAACATGACAGCTCACCCAAACGGGCACGCAGGACATTAATGACAACACAAGTTAACCTGACACAATATCTATTCACTTATCCTACATAGGATAAGTGAATATTTGACTTAAATTAAAAATCCCTTAAGCAGTTTGGACGCCACAATTCTTAGAGATCACAACAATTTTGGCTTCAACAATTAGTGTTATGCTGTACCAAAGCTGACCAAAGCAATGAAACACACACTGATAAAGTGTTACCGAAAAACTTTATGCATACCTTAGTTCACCAGTGAATGCGCCGCTCGGAACCTTGTAGCAGTTTTCGGCCGCGATCTGAATGCCTTTAGGTGCCTTCTCTTGAGCATACTTTAAGTAGCAAGCGGGGGCTCCAAGTACAATATCTAACAGATTATAAACCGAGTATATATTTACCAGCGTTAGGGTCAAGGTCGGCAGATTTCAGGTTATTGAAAATAACATCAATTTCTTTATGACTGCCATTCATCTTCCAGTTTCCTCCAACAAATAACTTCCGTTGTGACATGGTTGAACGATTGCCTTCGAAGACTACTCAGATCCACCGGGAATGCCTACGTGCAAAGTCGTTCCGAGGACAATGGCCTAAATTAAGATTACGTTTAAAGCATTCAAACAAAATATGTTTTCATTGCAGTTCTGAGAATAACTAAATTATTTTGCAAAATCATGGTTCCAAATTTACAATTATGAAATAGTATACTTTATTCTTTTTAATCGTATTATGAAATACATAGTTAGTACTGCTAGAATTTGTGCTCAGAAAAGCGTATAAGTTCTCTAAGGCACCTACTCAAAAACGAGAACAGTATTTACAGGTTCACTAGGCTGCAAGGTACCCTTTTATCGAATGCTAGGCTTATTAGTATTTTTTAATTAAAAAACTTATTCATCATCCCGGAGGCCTGCTGTACCGTTCGGATCGTGATTATTAAGCCAGCATTATGTTGTTTCTAAAGATCAATTGTAGAGTAATTGTTTTGTTTCCTTGTTTCAGAAAGATAGAAGAGGCTACTTAAAACCTTATTTGAAGTCGCGAATCCCGAATTTATTAGTCTCATCCACCAACTCAGATGAATGAGTGCGAGGAACTATCAGATGGGCAGGATGGAATGAGAATGCTGCAAAAACTGTGTGTCTGTCCGAATTGGTGTTAGATTAATAGTAGGACCATACTGTCCTCCACTATCCTTAACCCTATGTCTTTATATGCAGTTTTTTATCTTTTATTACAATTGCCGGTCAAATGTTTTGATTACTCTGAATACCATCGGATAGTACCTACTACTCCTGGAAAGTCTTCTAATTTTTGATTAAAAAATGTTTGAATTACGTAATTCAGAATCCTTAAATGTGCTCCCTTTTCATGTTATTATTTTCTATTTGGTAACAACCGACTTTAATGAATTCCAGTATTCGGAGATTTCTGGCACATAATGAATAGTGGATTGGTCAGCTCTCTAAACAATTCAAAGGGCAGCTTTGCTGGAGGCTCCAGCGTATTGGCAGATTAACATTCCCTTAAGTTTTAGTTCTTCAACAATCACGTCTAATCGAAACAGAATATGCTGACCAATTGGCGCTGCCACGGTCTCGTCACCAAGTGGTAAGAAAACAATTCCTCGGGTGAAATCAGACCGAAGGAACTCAGAAAATTTGTCGGTTTTGTTTCTACTGTCTATTGTCTCGAAAACATCATTTTCCACAGAAGGTATCAGGTTCCTGTTATATATGCTTTTTTCAAGTAATTGTAAAGAAACTTGAGATTTTAACTGCCCAGTTGAGCAGAAAAGACTAGCCATCCCGTATTTTTCTCAAAACCAAAAATTTTACGTTGTTTTTCTGAATTCCGAAGGCTGCATTGCGATTTGATCCGCAAAACCTTTCCCACAACCACTCTTTTCTGTTTATCTCTCTTTTTAAATTTCTATTCAAGCACTAGTGTCAATAAAATGCCCTGGATAGTGATAAAGCTCAGTGCGTCTGCATAAATGTAACAGCCGTTTCTTAAATGACACCCCTTATAGAAGAGAAGAATCCGGTCTATTTTTGTTTCCTGTGCTCGCATTTAAAAAAGTTTCCTTGCAATTTATGTGGCCTCGATGTGCTTATAATAGACGGTACACAATATACACGTTAATCCCATAAAGGTACTACATGATAACTTCTACCAAGTGGGGGTATGCATTATACGTCGTCCATACTATCGGGATGTTTGGTGAAGACGACATCTGAACAGCGAACCTGTTGCCCTCCATGTGCTCTACTTGGAGCGGGGAAATGCAGTGCGAGAAGAGCTTCAAGTGTTGTCCTAAGCAGAGGGTTACTGCTGGGAATGTGCCCTTTCCCACGATTACTCTGTTAGCATACGCCTAGCAGATAGATAGCCTGCGCAA